ATTATATATGTAGTTAATCTGTTAAAAGGTGTCAGGGGAAATGTCAATTATATATGTATTTTATAAGGCGTCCCTTTTGAAGGCAGCTTCTCAGGCAGACAGAGATGAAGCTCACTAGGTTTTAAAAACTCACGTTAAACCATCTGTTCGATATATTCAACTGGAGAGCAGGCATGTGTCTGCCAGTAACATCAGTGTGTGTGTCTGTACTGGAATAGTTCGGGAGTATCCCATGAGTTTGTACCTATCTGGCAGTGAGTCTTATAAAGAATTGGGAATATCTGCAGAACAATGGAGCACTATTCTCCTCTGAGCTAGGAGTGAGTGTGTAACGTGAAATGAAGGTCAATCTCGGACAAAGTCCTCTCTATAAACAACAGAGGAAATCCTCCGAGTGCAGAAAGTATGTGTGAGGACGTAAAATGCTCAAATACTGTTAAAGAACAATAGGTGCTGTGCTTTTCTGTCTTACACGCACACAGTGTATGACTGTAAATGTGAGACAGTGAAGTTATGAATTCAAAGAAAGTGCTCTGTAAGTGTGTGTGTGTTTTACCTCTTGTACAAACAGATTCTGTGCCTCTCTCAGTGCGTGTGGAGGTATGGAGGGGTAGAACGTCCGGATCTGTCGTGGCAGTGTACACACCTGCAGAAGAAAAACACTGTTATAATCAAATCTATACTATCTATAACCACATCTATACAAAACCTGACATCTGATCCAACAAATTAGGGATGGCCACGAGTACTCAGAAGCGACAACAATGATCGATCAGGAAAATGATCACATGATTTTTAAAAACACGTATTTTCTCTTTTTTTCTGATTGGTTATGGCAGCACCCTGGGTGATTCCTTGAGGTCTGATTGGTTAGTGTTGGGGCAGCATGTCGTCCAGACTGCGTTTTGGCATGTTGTTATGTGAAAAGCACATCCACAAGAGTGTTACACATTCTGACTAGCGCTGTCTAGATCACATGTGCATTTCCATCCGTTTTGTGCAGATGCAAGTCGTAAGATTACATTTACGTTGCATATATAATGCATTTAGTTAATTAACTTGCTAGCAAAGTGCTTCAGTGCAAACAAATACACAAAAGTTACAGTATGACTTTGAAAAGAATGACTTTTGTTCAGTATAACTCCCCCTGATGAGAGTTTTCTCATGAGAGAAACAGGACAAACGAAGCGGCAGGATGAGCTCGACCACAGTTTCGCAGCAAAACTCCCCAACCTGACTCACGTCCGCCAGATCAGCAGGACTCAAACAGCCAGGTTCAGTTCTTATGGACAGACAGTCTCCATCCATTCAGTCAATAAGAGCATGAAAGAGGTCAAGCTTTGGCCGGTTTGCACGACTCGATTAGATTGTAGATGTGGTAACTGCACAAACTGACTGCAAAAAAGCATCTTTCTCAACTGATGGCGAGTCAAAAATTTCTGTGCACTCAAAATAATTCAAGCACATGTCTTTGAGATGAATGAGAATGCAAGCGGTCTAAACATATAGCCAAACCACTACATTAACATCCAGCAAACAGCGAATCAGAGTGCTGCATGAACTTCTGTTTAATCAATCAGAACTCATTCTCACACTCTCAAAAACAAAACACAATACTGCAAATAATATCAGAACACAGTAACATTTCAAGAACATTCACCAGCCAATTACTTAAATATTATTATTATAAAATATACTAGATAAAATGCATTAATTAAAATGAAAAATTACATTCTCCTTATGCAATCAGCACTTTTAAAGCATTTTATTTGATATGAATGAAAACATACAATATGCACTGCAAAAAATAAATCTGTAACATAACTGGCAGCTTATTACACAGGACATTATACATACATTTTTACAAACATTTCCGTTAACTCTAAAACACAATGCAAAGCAGTGTAAAATTCAAACTACTGGTGAAACCTGTAAAAAAAATAATTACAGAAGAAATCCTTCAAGTTATACAGTACATTATGCCCTATTTTTTTGGAGTGTGTCATACGGTCCCAAGACTAATAATCAGGATTATAACCATTTAACTAAAACTAAAACCATAAAAAAAATGCATTACTTCAAACAAAATAAACACCAAAAGAATTAAAATATTATTACAACATTTTATTATTATTACAAAATACAAAATAAATTACATCAGGTAGCATTTCTAATTTTTGTTCAGTTTAAAGGCACAATATGTAAGATTTGTTTATTAAAGTATCCAAAAACCACTAGAACAGTGTTATATATTTTGCTGACTTGTGTACTTACATTATCCCAAATGTTTCGAAGAATGTTTAAATCCAGAGAAATAAGCAATTTTAACTAGTGTAACGGACCGAATAACTAAACTAAAAACTAAAACTTAAAAAACTAGGCTATATGGACATTTAAAAAAATAAACTAATAAAAATATCAAACACAACAAAATTACTAAAACTTTACTAAAATGAAAATAATAAAAAAATAAAAAACAAACTAAATAAAATGTAAAATATCAAACTATAATTCTATATCAATTATATAATATAACACAACTAGTAATCAAATATTCATTATCCAATTAATTTTTGGTGGCTAAAGACAAATTCACAATCTTTTGTTTCCCTTTTTTTCCATTCATGCCAAATGAAATATGTCATGTGCCCTAAACAAAGTCCACTGAGATCTGAGACTGTCTGTTTACCACAAATGCTCTTGATGTTTTATATTCAGAAGGAAAGTGTCTCTATGTCACCAGGGTCAGTGGATCTCAGAACCAGCGGAAAATAGCGTTAATAGCATTCCAAAGAAAAAACACACAATAGAGTCCTCCTGTTCCCAAACTTCCTTTCCTGAAGCCCTCACTTCCTCCTGGAAAGATGCTAATCGCAGGGGGTGAGAAGAAGAGGAACACTGCCATAGTCATCCAGGAGCCGCGCACACACTCCCAAATACCATGAGCACACCACTACAGGACAGAAGTGTGTGAGTGAAACTTTAAGAGCTAATGAAGATTCAGGCAGTGGTTGAAGACCTGGGTTGGTAACCTAAAAGGTCACAGGTTCAAGGCAAGCTCACTAGGGGACACGTGGGAAAAGGCACGTCTGATGTCACGAGATTAGCAGATTAGCAGCACATAAGGTACTTTAAGATGGTAAACATGTTGGTCTGTTGAGGAACAAGCAGGCGAAGCAGTGCCCCAGCAAAATACTCATCCACTAGAAAGACCTCAATCAATAATAAATCATAAATATGAACCTTTACAATCGCAAGCAACATAGTCCAGATTCATATTCGGATTTATTACTGTTCGCCACTGAGAACATTTACTTGCAGATTTTGCACAAGCAGCCTTGTGAAGGAAGACCAGCTGTACAGCACTTTCATTTGAGAAGACTATTAGAATGGAGATGGAAAAGGTCAAATGAAAACTCAGGTTAAATAACCTGTTGGCCAATAGTACAGATGATTATTGTTAATTAATCGAGAGAAGCAGAAATTGTGATCACGATTTAAATACAGTTAATCGTGCAGTCCTAATTCTGTTTCTTTCCATTGTGCATTGTCTAGGTGTTTCTGAACATTGCAGTGTGTCTTATGTAAATGCCCCCTAAAAACAAGTCTGAGCAGGGTCAGGTGAATCTGAAAACCTGATTATTATCTAGTCATTAAAGTCTAGTCATTAAAGTATTATCTAGTCAATCTAGTCATTTTTTTGTAAAAAAAAAAATCTTTTAAGGTTTTGTAAATGTATAGCTTTGTACATTCTTAACAGTGGCACCAATGGGAATTGCAAAAATGACTGATATCCAGCAGGTTTCCCAAACATTGCCCTTATTTGTTCAAACTGGCAGTCCTGCCTCAAACTCACTGGTAAAGCCAGAAATCAACATCAACAAGCAATGTTTTTAAAGCGCTATAGGGTAAACTATAGGGTGGACCATATATTCAACACTAATGGCTTATGCAATGCTGCAGATTTAAAGTTAGCATTTTTTAAATTCAGCTGAGGTCACAAAGATCTCCTATTTGTCACGTCTTCACAAGATTATGAATTTGCAGGTCAGAGTTCACCAAACTTTCGAAAGTTTTTTAGAAAATTTGCATGGTCTTGTGTTTCCTGTCTCCTGCATTTGCGTGCATTTGAATAAAGGACAATTTACCAAAAAATCCAGTGTGACTGGAAAGCTGCAAATGGACCAGACTTTATACTGGTGAAAAGTCTGAATCTGCGAGACTAGTTTGGACTGGTTAGTGCTTGTCTACGCTTATCCAGTATTAGCATGGTGGCATGTGTTAAAGGGATTGTTCACCCAAAAATGAAAATTCTGTCATTAATTACTCACCCTCATGATGTTCCAAACCCGTAAAACCTTCGTTCATCTTCGGAACACAAATTAAGATATTTTTGATGAAATCTGAGAGCTTTCTGACTCTGCATAGACAGCAATGCAACTGACACGTTCAAGGCCCAGAAAGGTAGCAAGGACATCGTTAAAATAGTCCATGTGACATCAGTGGTTCAACCGTAATGTTACAAAGCTACGAGAATACTTTTTATGCGCAAAGAAAACAAAAATAATGACTTTTTCAACAATTTCTTCTTTTCCATGTCAGAATTCGACATACATTCATGACAGTACCACGCATGCGTCCTGGTACTCTCGTGAATGTGCGTCAAAGGCTGACACGGAAGAGAAGAAAGTAGTTATTTTTCTTTTCTTTTCTTTCGGTTGAACCACTGATGTCACATGGACTATTTTAACGATGTCCTTACTACGTTTCCGGGCCTTGAGCATAGTTGCTGTCTATGCAGGGTAAGAAAGCTCTCGGATTTCATCAAAAATATCTTAATTTGTGTTCCGAATATTAAGGAACACAGTCTTATGAGTTTGGAATGACATTAGGGGGATTTTTGGGTGAACTACCCATTTAACCTGTTAGTGACAGTAATAAGTGTAATAAAATAATAAAATAACGACATTATTCATACCTTTAATAAAAGCTTTCATCTAAAGGAGCTTTAGGCACTGCAAACGGATGTAAGGGCTGTCCCTTTGGAGCAGTTTAAGTGCTTTGGTGATAGAGCAGTACTGTGATCTCAGATCCTGGGTTATCTTAACTGGGAAATGAGTCTGTGCACTTTCAAAGCCCGGTTAATTAACCATCATGCTGTCAAAAACCCACTTTTGCGGTCTCATTTCGCATTTCTGTATACTTTTGGTAGTTCACACATAACGTGTATGACTGTTGTGTTCACATCTTTTGCATCGTCTCATTCATGAGCGGCAAGTTTTTAAGATGTTGTGTCAAGTTAAACATTTTTTTAACTTTTACACGCAGCACCGTCCATCAACGTCAGTTCTAAAACAGTGGACCAATCAGAAGACCTCGGAGGCGGGGCAAGCGTTTGTTTACAGTAGAGCCGTTGAGCGGCATTCTGCACTGCGCTTTTTTAAAACCATTCCTGAGCACTGTGTCTCACGTTTTTAGACGCAAAGATGCATTCTGTGTGAACGGCCCCTTAGCCTTATATTTTACATTTTTTCTACAGTTAAAAAATGAGTGTATCTGAAAAATAAAGTATTTAGTAGATACTATGAAACTTAGTGATCGTTATAAAAAATGTTCACCATAGAATTAACTACATCCATCATGTTTTCATTGTCATGTGACCTACAGCATCAGTTGCATCATTTGACTGCCATTCATAAACCCTTTGTGTGGCTTCATGGGATCGTACAGTGTCCATTAATTGCGCAATCCTAAATCTTCCCATAAGTAGTAGATCATCTGGGTCCCTTTCACCTACAGTTTTTTTTAAATATTATGAATGAATCCCAATTTAATATGTAGTTTAAATAGAGATTAGTGGTCAACCGATATTGGTTTTTTGACAGCCGATGCCGATATCTTGGAAAGCAGGGTGGCCGGTGGCCGATATAAAGCCGATATAATTGTATTTATTTTATTTTAAATAATTTGAAAATGGATTACAAAATTAATGTGTTAAATAAACATACGTATACTTTAGATGACAAAGTATTTTTCACAAATAAACAAATATTTAATAAAAATATAATTAAAAATTACATAGAGCACGCAATGAAAATGACATGAATATGGCAGTGGGCAAATGCATAAAGCGCAGCATCTATGTGCTATCGTGCATCTCCAGTGAAGCTGAACTCTCCTCTTGTGAGCATTCAATTCACACGGATCGACCGTCACGCAGAGAACACGCGATCATGCAGGATACAAATGCACACTTCACAAGATCTCACAACTGGATCCGACTAAGTTTGCAAGGTTTGTGAAACTAAATGTTAATTAGTCATTCAAAGATTTGTTTAAATTATATAAATGCGTATTTGCTATTAAGTATTATAATGTTTTCCTTTCTAATACTAATAATATAAAAGCAATCGTTATAATACTTTTTGTATACATTTTCATTCCTTTGTTTAACCGTTCTATCTGATTATTAGACAGATTTCTGTCCATATTAGACAGAACTGTTAACGACGACAGCGAACAAGAGGGAGAATGTGAGCACTGTGTGCTCAGGCGCTGCAGCTCTCAACGCCATCAAAATAAAAGTCTGGCGCGCTGTCGAAGAGGGCGCGCTGTCGATCAGCCAAACAGGAAAACTTATCGGCCGATGCCGATATTTAAAAAAAATGACAAATATCGGCCAATATATCGGCCTTGGCGATATATCGGTCGACCACTAGTTGAGATGCAGCCTGGATCTCTGTGCTGTTGGGTAGGAGATGATGTTTTGATGCAGCACGTCTATGGACATCAGAAACTGTGCGCATTCTAGAGGATTTCAGTGGACAACATCTCTGTCAAATGGACTCTGTGTGCAGCTGTGACAGTCAGACAGCTGTTTACTATACTCGTTTATTGTATGACAGCCTTGAACCTTTTTTCTGAGAGCAATGACTCCAGCTGTACAGTGTGATCAGAGCCGGTGACCCAGAGAAACAACACGAGACACTGAGCGAGAAGAGGCCGGGAACATCTGCTCTGCCGGTCAGGATCTCTGTGGAATGTGTCAGTGTGCCGGCCGATCATAGATCAGGATGGACAGAGCCTGGTGTCATGAGATCTGTGGTTCTCATTGTTCACAGATTAAAGCTAAAATGTGTCATATTTCAATGTTACTTCCTGTCCCAGAGACAATGACACACGGACCATGAGTAGGTTGACGTTCTGAAGAGTGTAAACACTGTGGATCTGGGACCGGTTTCCCCAGCTGTGGGTAAATTACAACTTAGGCTGTATGTTACAACTTACACATTACAAAATATGTTTTGTGTTGCACCATTAAACTTGTTGAAACATAATTCTATCAATAAACTAAATATTTATGAACGCCTCCATCCAGGAGTAACACTTGGAATAAAATATCAGATTGACTGAACTGCATCAATAAGCTTATGTTTTACCTGACAGATGCCAATCCTTTACACATATATGAAAATGTTGACATTTACATTTTAAGAAAGAGAACATTATTTGAATAAGTTACTTTGATAATGGTTCTTCAACACGTATTTGAATGGAAACATGTTTACCATTAGTTACGTGAGACAAAAGATAGAATTAAAGATTAACTGAAATGAACAGCTTTTTAACACGATTTCTGCTCATGTATATGAAGGTTAATATTGGATCATTGAGAGTAAACATTATATGCGACTATGCAATACATAGACATTACGATGTTCTGCCTTAAAGGGGCCATCGGATGTAAAATTCACTTTTACAAGTTGTTTGAGCTGAAATGTGTGTTGGCAGTGTGTGTAAACAACCACCCTATAATGATAAAAATCCACCCAGTGTTTTTTTTTAAATCCAGTCCCCCGATATGCCTAAATGCGTCTATGTTCGCGCGAATCATTCGTGATTCGGCTTCACCTTCAGAAGAAGTGAGTATAAGTTTTTTTAATGAATTTTGCAAATCGTCTTTCCTAATAATGTGCTAGTTAGCAAGTTTCACGATAAATGCGACTAAAGTTTACAGTCTCTCAGAGAACTGCGCATCACTCCACGGAGGGAGAGGGGCGGGGTGAGCAGAGCTCATTAGCATTTAAAGGGACATGCACCGAAACGGCTTGCTGTGAAAAGAGCTGTTTTTGACAGGGTAAAAAGGGTGTTGTTTTACACTACCATTGAGAAATTTTAACCAAAGTGTGTTATAGACTTTTCATTAAGACCCTAAAGAATCATATCAACTTGTGGAAAATGGGCATCCGATGACCCCTTTAAAAATAAATGGTGCAACCAAACAAAAGTACAGACTTTTAGAACCTAGCTAGTAGTGAAGTGAAGTAGATAACATTTCTATATGTTATATGTTGAATTATGCTTTTAGAAAAATGACACCACAGAGTTTGATGTTGTATTCCAGCCGTTGCAGTGTTTAAAGTCTAGTGTGACCACATTTTAAGGCAGGAAAGGACATCAGAGTGACATGTAAAGTGACCAACCACTGTTCACATTTATAGGATACCACAATAAAAAAAAATCACTGGAAAGTCATAGATAATCTGACCTGAAAATCCTCCAGAGGAAACTGCAGCATGTCCCTGAGTCCATCGCTGAGGATCTGAGTTTTCCTCTGCACCAGCACACTCTCATAGTCCAGAGGCTCCACCACACGCGGCTTCACCTGAAAACACACAAGCACAAATTCAGCACATCTTACAGATATCCCAATTCTAATATCGCAATATGTTATAGGATGGTGCTCACATTTACTAATTAGAGGAGAAAAGGAGGTTAAAAAACTGAATTAGCACAATCAAACGAGGCAAGGGTTGATCTGTAAAGTCCAATTAAATATTATTTCTTAAAAACCTCAAGCAAAGCACCTTAAGATACTCCATTGTGATTGTACCTGTTTCTAAACAGACTCAATGGTGTTCAATGGCAATATTGTCTAAAAAGTCAAAGAAATTTCCTGAGCCCCAGTAAAAGTTCAAGAATGTAAAATCCATTTCAAAAGGTGTTTTAATAAAAAAAAAAATTACATAAAATGTTAAATAATAAAATAATTTCTTATAAAATAATACATTTCTGTAATAAAATAAATCAGTGATCTCTACAGAATATGAGTGCTGGATGAGGATCTTAGTAATATGTTTTCACTGATATAGGAGGAATCTGGGAGTGTGTGTGTGTGTGTGTGTGTAAGACTAAGTGAGATAACACAGTCCACTCACACATCTGGGAGTGATATTGGCAAAATGACCTCAGATGCAGATCTCCAAGGAGACGGCGTTGTTTTGATGATTACATCATAACTGGATAGACCAATCAAAGACCAGAATCCCACCCAAACACCATGAACTAGGGCTGTCGCGGTGAAGGAATTCCCCTTGCGGTAATTTTGAGTGGCTCAATAGCGCGGTATGCGGTATTATCGCCATATATATATATATATATCAAAGAGAGACAAAATGAAAAACGCTGTTGAAATCATTTTAACTTTGAGCGCCAGGTTAGAAGGCTCAGCTGACCAATGCTTCGATGCTAAGACAGAGATTTGACTTTTCTTGGACATGACTACCCATTTTCACAAATATATATGACTCGCAAGTAATCGCACATGCTCAGTTGATCTCTCTCTCATTCGTTGTCTGTTTAATCTCAGTCCAAATCAGCATGGTACACATTATGTTATCATTACTAACTTGCTCGTCAATAGCGTGGTATTGCGATATTGCGGTTATCGCGACAGCCCTACCATGAACATCAGCTCCACTGACTGTACAACAGATTAAAGCCTCCAGACACCACATAAAACAACCATCAACCAGTTCAATCCCAGCAGTGTGTGTGTCATGAGCATACAAACCCAGGTTCTCAAAGTCAGGCTGAGCCAGGCTCACTGGAAATATGTGCATGTGGTGGCATTTCTTCAAAATGATATTACATTGCTTTTGCACATTTTCCAAGTGTCCAGTGAGTGATGCTAAAAGTGTGTTCAGTTTTATCTGAAACAGAATGTGAATATACGTACACAGTTCTAAAAATTAAACATCCGATGAGTGACATTAAATGGTTAACACTATTGCATTTGAAAATAATGTACCACCCGAAACAAAAATTTATTTGCTGAAGCAACCAAGCAAATCTCGTTTCTGCAAGTTTTTGAGCTCTTTTATCATGACTTGCGTTTCATGGGGCTTGTATCCGACTTTGCATCACAACTTCAGCGCTGTACCAGGTGAGCTACCAAGCAAGTTTACTACGGCAGAAAAGCCATACATATGGAGCTGTTTATGTGATGCAAACAATGAAATTTATTAGTTTACAAATCATGCGCTATGGTAAAAGTGTTTTTAGGTCATTATATGGTATTGTGCAAGATACCAAACAAAAATAGATCTTTATTAACTGACAATCTGCCCCCATAATCATTATTTGTGTGAAAAGGAATAAAAATGGTTGGTGTTTTACCATTACTAGTGCTCATTTCAGCTGGAAACTGCAATTACTGCACATTTTTTCTTTTGCAAAACGCTGAGAAACGCTGTCCAGTCAAATGAAATGAATTGGATGTGTTTGTATGTGTGTGAGAGTTAATATTCGCATTTCAAACATTCAGCAGTTTAATCTTTAACACATATATGAGAGACCTGAGTTACAGTCATATGACTGACAGGTGATTTTATTATCGCTGATGAAACTAACTGCACAAAAACTAACTCATTCTAGAGCGATTTCAGAGTAATGACCTACACAGAGATGCTACTAACTTCGTTTCACTTTTCAGTAGCGTCAATGACAGTGACTGTTTTCACAATAGTGTAGCTTTTACATTGAGCTGCCTAAAATGGGTCGCTGTACATGACAACCACTAATTTATTTTAAATGGTCCTTCAAGTGCATTTGTAGAGGCACAGTTATTTCATGTAATTTCTTAATGTACTGTAAAAATGTGCACATATTACTATGTAAAGCTACTTTTTTTTTAACAAATCATTTAGATGGAGTATAGTATGTCACAGCATGTGTACAAACACAAATGGCAAACACACACACACAAACACAAACACACACACCTATATTTATTCCTGGGAACATGAATAGGACAGTGTTTGCACAGTTGTGTTGTGTTCAAAATGGCATCAGAGTAATGCACCAGTTACTGTGGCTAAGTATATGTGTGCACTTATTTTGTACACAAATTTGTACCAAGAAGTGAGTTAATTCTGACAAAATCTTCTTTCAGGGACATTCTCATTAGTAAAATTGCTTTTTTGTTAGGGTTAGGTTGTAGTATTTATAACTAGCTGTATCTAGAAACAACAGAAGCCTATGTAATGTCCTCATTTAGATATAGTTATATTTTGCGATAGAAATTTCTAACTGAAAACCAATCGGAAAACACACACACACAGTGCTCAAATGTGACAGTGCAGTCTGATAGAACAGCTGTGTGAATGTGTGTTTATTTCTTTACACTGCTGTACTCTGAAACATCCAGTCACACTCCAACTGGACACAACAGGCCCACAAATCACAGCACACTCTGCATCCAAAATAAAGTTCATAAGTCAGTAGAACAGCAGAATATATTGGACTAAAGTGACAGCAGGAAAGACATATACACGTGAGATGATGGAAGCTTGTGTGATCTCCATATGAATCATCTCAGCACATTAATCTCTCTTTTCTGAGGAGCAGTGCACTCTACATTTTAAAGCAAACAGCCTGAAAGCTGAGCTCAGCTCTATTGTGTGTGTAGCAATAGAAACACAGGAGAAAGATACAGTATGTGGGCAGTGACAGTCGGGTGTGTAGTGTGTGTGTGTGTGTGTGTGTGCACATGACAGACAAAGTGAACCTGCATTCATGCGATAATGCTGGAAGAGACATTTGAGACATTTTTTAACCCTTATGAACCACTGGACACTATTGTTTAAAAGTTTGGGGTCAGTATGAATTTTTTTAAATGGTTTTAAAATATCTCTTATATTCACCAAGACTGTATTTATTTGGTCAACATTTATATATTTATATATCTTAAAATGTAATTTATTTTTGTGATGTTAAAGCTGAATTTTCAGCATCATTACACCAGTCTTCAGTGTCACATGATCCTTCAGAAATCATTCTAATATACTGATTTGCTGCTCAAGAAACTTTTCTTCTTATTATCAATGTTGAAAACAGTTGCTTAATATAAAGTGGGTCTGGCTTATATTCAGCAAGAATTCATTAAATTGGGCAAAAGTGACAGTAAAGACATTTATAATGTTACAAAAGATTTCTATTTCAAATAAATGCTGCTCTCTTGAACTTTATTTTCTTCAAAAATAGTATTAATTAATAAAAAAGTCTTCAAAAAGTCTTTAATTATTGGGTTCCTAAATTTAAATTAATCATTTGATATAATGCACTGATTAAACTTTACCCCAAACTTTACTATGTAAATACCAAGGTATATTAATACAGTATCATATCAATTTTATATATCATGGTATGATCTTCTGACACTATTGTACCATACCACTACACGACACGTTTCAACCCCAAAAACAACTAAACCGATCCAGTTTACAGGCACTAAAGGCTTAATCAATAACTTTAAACAGCCCTTCTGTCACAACCACACCTCAATTTTTCATGAAGTTTTATGCTTTAATTTAACTTGCACTTCAACTGTCATGAAATCAATTAAAAGTAAAAAAAAAAAAAAAAAAAAAGGTAAATCAAAGTCACATTAACAGTCGACCATCAAAAAAAATGTTGACTGGCTATTAAACTACACTTGACATTGTTTAAAAAAATTTACTGACTATGAATATGCCATAGAGTTTATTTAAAAAACTGATTGACAGTTTCACAGATGATTAACTATAAAAATCAACCTGATTGACTGTAGAACTATCATAAAGTTGTTTAAGCTTTTTACTACAAAAAAAAAAATCAATAAGATTGATCAAACTATTCCACTCAGATTTCTCTCACTTAAAAGGCAATGAAAAGCATCTCTGATCAGACTGACAGGAGCTTACACGAGCGCACTAACCTTCCCCTGAGGACCCGCACCGTCCTGCTCTTCCTCCACCACAGGGACATATTTAAACTGCTGGGGAGACTCGATCACCAGCTCTTTCTTGGGCGCTTTCCCCGTCTTGCCCTGCATGACTACAAACTCTTTCTGTCAGATAAACTCTCCACATCCAAAACGGTCCTGTAGAACGTGCAGTGGTGCGCCTGCGGAGTGACAGGAATCACCTCTCGAGATCCCAGACAGCAGGCAGATCTCAGCATGTCCAGCTCTCTCCAAAACACACACTCACACACTGGACACAAGCCTCACCTCACGCTCTGACTGGAGACAGATGCCCCTCCTACACTCCAGTGCCGACGGGAGTCACCATACACTCACTCGCTCGCACATTCCTCCTCACGGGATCCACCTGCACGCTAATCACAGTGTCTAACACACACACACACACACACTCACACACACACACACACACTCACACACACATTCCATGACAGACACCCACAGGAAAGCTTCCTCAGACGCTGCTCTTCCATAAACCTCTTAAAGGAAAGCCAAGTTACATTTCATTGAAGTACTTCATTAAGATGGTTTTGCTCAAATTCTTCACAGGACTTCCCCACAGTAAGAGTATTTGGCTATAAAAT